ATATAGTATATTGTGTATATATATAGACACTGAAGACATACACTCACTGGCCACTTTATACACCTTGCTAGCAGGTTGGATCCCCATTTGCCTTCAGAACTGCCTTAATCCTTTGTGGCATCGATTCAACAAGGTACTTGAAACATGTCTGGTCCATATTGACATAATGGCATCACACAGTTGCTGCAGATTTGTCGGCTGCACATACATGATGTGAATCTCCTGTTTCACCACATCCTAAAGATGCTCTATTCGATTGAGATCTGGTGACTGTGGAGGCCATTCGAGTTCAGTGAACTCATTGTTGTGTTCAAGAAACCAGTCTGAGATGATTTACACCTTTACACCTGGAGTGTTATCCTGCTGGAAGTAGCCATCAGAAGATGGGTACACTGTGCTCATAAAGGGATGGACATGGCCAGCAAAAATACTCAGGTAGAGACACACCAATTCTGTCCAATACTGATTTCTGGTTTTTGTGGCATTGTCACGATGCTTAGTTGGTAATAATGGGCCCAAAATGTGTCAGGAAAATATCCCCCACACCACTGCACCACCACCAGAAACCTGAATTGTTGATACACGGCAGGATGGATCCATGCTTTCATGTTGTTGAYGCCAAATTCTGACCCTACCACCTGAATGTTGCAGTAGAAATCCAGACTCATCAGACCAGGCAATGTTTTTCAATCTTCTATTGTCCAGTTTTGGTGAGCCTGTGTGGATTGTAGCCTCGGTTTCCTGTTCTTAGTTGACAGGAGTGGCACCAGGTATTGTCTTCTGCTGCTGTAGCCCATCTGCCTCAAGGTTCAGTGTGACGTTCCTTCAGAGATGCTCTTATGCAGACCTCAGTTGTAACAAGTGGTTATTTGAGAGCTACTGTTGCTGTTCTATCAGCTCGAACCAGTCTGCCCATTCTCCTCTGACCTCTGGCATCAACAAGGCATTTGTGCCCACAAAACTGCCGCTCACTGGATATTTTCTCTTTTTCGGACCATTCTCTGTAAACCTTAGAGATAGTTGTGCGTGGAAAAACCCTGCAGATCAGCAGTTTCTGAAATACTCAGACCAGCCTGCTCTGGAACCATCAACCAGAGTTTCTGCCATGTGACTGGCTGATTCGACAGTTGTGTTAGTGAGCAGTTGACAGGTGTATCTAATAAAGTGACCATTGAGTGTATATGTCAAATCGTATGGATTGTGAAGTACACAGCCCCCTCCCCTCCTTTTTTGCAAGTATACAAACAAAAAGAAATTTCACAGATTTTTTCAAACTCAAGTCTCATAACCTTTAGGTCATAGATAAACTTGAATAACCATCTGTATAAGAAAGTTCAAACTGAAAACAATATTAACTGTAGGAACCCGGTCCATTTGTCTGTCTTGAACATTTATTTTACAACATGTAAAGTTTGGCCAGATGCAACCCCTCTGTTTTACCGTTGTTTTCTTCAGACTCATGTCATGCCGGTGGTAGTTACAGTGTGTCAGTTCCTCACCAGCTGTAATATGAAACCAGTTTGGTGCAGGACATGTGTTAACTAAACGCTTTATAAAAACCGTAGCACAGTGGTACACTGCAGTGGTTGATCTCAGTAGAATATAGTAAAATGATTCCACACTGATTATAAAAACATTCAGTATAAAAGTATCTAAACCTTTCATATTATGTCATTATTGCAACACAAAATAATGAGGACCGTTTTCTCAAGTTAATTTCTCAATGGTTTTCCTCTCGTGCGTCAGTAACCATGCTTTGCAACCAATCAGTCCCCTCAGCTCATCAATGAACTTTACTATTTATT